TTTTTAGAAGCGTCGAGAAATATTAAATATTTTAATTATATTTAATATTTTTTAATATTTCTTGACGCTTCTAAAAATATTAGATACTGTTTTGAAATGCTTCTAGAAATTTAAATACTTTCATACTTTTTGCACAATTTGTTAAAATAATCTCGAACTTTCAGATTTTATTTTAATATATTATTATTTTCCACATTCTTATTAGTAAATACTGTTATGTATTTCCGTTGCAATATTTTTAACTTATTATGGATGCTTAATATATACCTACTTACTCAGTTATTTCTATATATATATTTAATTTAATTTATCGTATTTTATGTATCGTATTATAATATTATATCTTTCTCCCTTGAATGCTGCTATTAGAAAGACGAACGACCACTAAACCACCACCTTCTGCGACCTTGCGGTCGGGTAACATCGTAAAACTTCGTCCGACCGACGTGTGTCCGACGTTGCCAAATATTTGCAAACACACCGGATATAGCAGCAGCAGCATATACACCGGAGAAAATTTGCACAATTGGAAAGATCCCAGAAATTACATAAAACATTTATAATTTACCAGTTAACTGTGAGTATCATAGATAAATAAGCATAGAGTAGTGGCAGTATGTTGTTTATTGACGAGTATACACGTCATGTGTATATACTGATGACTATTGGCTATTTAACTTGAAAAAAAAAACTAGTCGTAAGTGTCATTTTTTTCTTTTGGGGATAAATACTCCGATTTGTGTAAATAATTGATTCTAATATTAATATATGGTCCTGTTTACCTGCCTACCTGCCTGTCTGACATTCTGTCCACTACCTTACCAGCTGTCTATCAGTTTATTAGTCTACCAGAGTCTATCTGTTTACATGTCTCAATTTCTATTGTTTTACCTGAATATATTATTATATGCTTCTGTCTACCTGTCTGCCTGACTACCAGTCCACTATTTTACCTCCTGTTTAACAGTTTATTAGTCTACCAGAGTCTATCTGCCTCAATTTCTCCTGTTTTACCTGATTATCTGTCTATTTGTCTACCAGTTATAACTACCAACCTACTTACCTGTCTACCTGTTAACCAATAATGAAGACTTGTAAAGATACCTTTACAAATCCTCATTATTTGGATTTATAATTTACCAGTTAACTGTGAGTATCATAGATAAATAAGCATGGAGTAGTATGTTGGTTATTGACGAATATACTCGTCATGCGTATATACTGATGACTATTGGCCATTTAACTTGCAAAAAACTAGTCGTAAGTGACATTTTTTCTTTTGACGAGATGCATAATCGGACGACTACCAAAAACGATCACTTTCTACGACAGCGACCTTGTGCCTTGTGCCAGGTAACATCGTAAATCCGATGTTGTCAAATATTTGAAAACACACTGGAGATAGTAGCATATACTCTGGAGAAAATTTGCGAATGATCACAGAACAAATATAAAAAAATTATAAATTTAATGTTTTAATTATAAATAATTTACCAGTTAACTGTGAGCATACTGATCATAGAGTAATGGCAGAATGTTGTTTATTGACGAATATATTCGTCATGCGTACACTTTGATGACTATTGGCTATAAAACTTACAATTCTTGGAATAGCCTGGTTGTAAGTGGCATTTCTTCTTTTGGTGAGTTGCATAAACACTCCGATATGTGTAAATAATCGATTCTAATAATAATATATGATCCTGTTTACCTGCCTACCTGTCTGTAGGACATTCTGTCCATTAGCTTATCTGTTGTCTATTAGTTTATTAGTCCAACAGCGTCTATCTGTCTACATGTCTCAATTTCTACTGTTTTATCTAAATATATTAATTATATGCTTCTCTCTACCTGTCTGCCTGACTACCTGTCCACTAGCTTACCTGCTGTCTATCAGTTTATTAGTCTACCAGAGTTTTTCTGTCTACATGTCTCAATTTCTACTGTTTTACCTGAATATATTAATATATGCTTCTGTCTACCTGTCTGCCTGACCACTTGTCCACTATTTTACCTGCTGTCTATAAGTTTATTATAGTGCAACAGAGTATATCTGTCTCAATCTCTACTGTTTTACCTGATTATCTGTCTATTTGTCTATCAGTTATAACTGCCAACCTATTTACCTGTCTACCTGTCTACCTGTTTACTAATATTGAAGATTTGTAAAGATACATTTACAAAATAGATAGCATATTAAATAAATTGATGACTATTGGCTAATTAATTAGCAATTTCTCAAAAAGACTAGTTGCAAGTGGCATTTTTTCTGTGTAACGTGTAATTTTTTTTAATTTATATATGGTCCACTTGTTTACCTGACTACCAATCCATTAGCTTGTCTGTCTATCAGTCCATTATAATCTATCAGAATCTATCTGTCTAATGTCCTAATTTCTAATGTTTCATCTGATTATCTGTCTACCATTTAAAACTGCCAATCTGCTTACCTGTCTACCTGTTTACCAATAATGTTAGTTACCAAATCCTCATTATTGATACCATATCATATTAAATAAATAGATGACTATTGGCTATTTAACTTGCGATTTTTGTAAAAGAACTAGTTGCAATTGGCATTTGTTCTTTTGGCGAGTTGCATAAACACTCCGATATGTGTAAATAATCGATTCTAATAATAATATATTGTCCTGTCTACCTGTCTGCCTGACTACCTGTCCACAAGCTTACCTGATATCTATAAATGAAGTAGCGCTTAACGAAGCAGCCTTAAGCTGGGGTCTATTTAAATAAATTAATGATATTTAAATAAAACTCATAGTTTAAAAGTTTGCAAGGGATGTAATAAATAAATGTACAAATACATTGATGCACTGTAAACAATACAGCTGACTAATAATTTTCAAAAAACTTGTTCCACATCACCAAAAACACTTGAAAAAAAGTTTATATATTTTTTTATAAAACATCACATTGTTTATATATATAAATATACGCTGCAGAGTCCAGTTTGAATATCATGGATTTAAATATATTGAAATTTATCCATTTGAATCATAATAAATTCATCTCAATTAGTATCCTTTTTCCCAGACTCTGCAGTTACTATAAAAACATACTTTAATATTGATTAAATATAAATCTTAACAACCAAACAAGTATTTTTTTTTTCATTTTTCAAACCGTTTCCTTCCAAATCGATCACCATCACATCATTCATTGATGATTGACATTGATTGAATCATCATCTACAGCAGTCTTGAGTATTATCAGTTCCTTTCGATAAATATTAATTGTTAAGTAAGATTAATTTAAATTTGTTTCGATTAAAAGTTATAAATAGAGGTTCACACTTGAGTGGTGAGTGGAGAGTGGATGACGATTGTCTGAAAGGATAATAGATAGAATTAATTATAATTGTAAATTGTAATAAAACTATAGTTGGTATTGGTAATTAGACTTGAGGCAAGTTACATGAACTTCCCGACATGTGTAAATAATCAACTTAATTAATAAAAAATAAATTAATTTATGAGTTATTAAAAGTATTCCGAGTGGATTTATTACACACATTTGAAAACAAACGAACACGTTAAGTTAACTCAGAGAATTTTCTAAAAGCAAATTTTCAAAAATCAACCATTTTTATAATAAAAACAGTTTTCAATTTAGGACTTTAATGGTTTAATATGTTCATTAAGATCAAGTACTCTACCTTTATACCGAGTAAATCGTCTAATTTTACTTTTAACAAATGTCAAAAAATCTACTCATTTGCTCAAACTTTGATGAACTTTTAAAATTAAACTACTTGTCGTAAGGCCGCAATATTTTAGTAAGTTTTATAAGACCATGATATATATCGCCAAAAAAAGTTCCATAAAAATCGGCTCCAATTTTTTTTTCAATATTTAATTACAAGAAAACGGCTCGGTAGATTTTTACCTAAAACTAATCAGTATCATTCCCAAATGATATCTTTCGAACAGTTTTTGATTTTTTAAAATCGGTTCGGTAGTTTGAGGTTAAATGTGGACGAAAAGTTTAACACTATTTTTCAGATTACAAAGAAACGGCTGGGCAGATCGTCTCACAAATCTGACAAACGATAGTCCTCATTGAGATGCATCAAATGGCTTTCAAATTTCTGAAATCGGTTCAGGCGTTGTTGAGAAAACGTCGATGAATGGTCTAATTCTGACAAATGCCAAAAAAACGATACCAATTTTTGCAAACTTTGACAAATTTTTAAAGTTAAACGAGTTGTCGTACGGCCGTAATATTTTAGTATGATCTAGAAGACTATGGTATCTACCGTCAAAAAAATAATAACAAAAATCGTCGAAAAAATTTTTTTAATACTTTATTACAAGAAAATAGCCCGGCCGATCTCTACCAAAAACTAATCAGCGCGGTTTTTGAATTTTCATAATCGATTCAGAATTGCGGGCTAAAACGTGGACGATTTTTTTTTACTTTTCTGCGATTTACAAAGAAACGGCTTGTCCTATCGTAGCGCCAAACCGACAAACGATAGTCCTCATCGAGATACATCGAATGGCTTTTAAATTTTTGAAATCGGTCCAGCCGTTTTTGAGAAAACGTCGATTTACGGCAAAATTTGTTCACATACACGCACACACATACAGATACACACATACTTTTTCCAAATTTGGTCTCATTCGATTCAGAATGGCTTGAAACGTCGAGAAAACTTAAAATTGGCAAATCGGATTTTTTGATGAAAACATAAATTTCTCCCTCGGAAAGTAAAAACAAATATTTTGACTACAATTTAATTGTAATAGGATTTCTTGGTGCTATAATAGAGTAAATTGTTTATATGTGCAAAAGTTCTCTGAACACATTTTGAATACTTATTGAAGATTTAATAAACAAGCTATTTTAGGGCAGTGTGGTAATGGGCAATATTGTAGATACTTCAATTTTGCATAAATCTTTCTCATATATCATTCATCTTAACCAACCAATTTAAATGTTACACTACAAATACTAATAAATCATCTACTCACCACTGATCCTCCTCAACATATCAACAATCCCTCCCGCCCTTTCCTCTCCATCTCCGTCATCCCCATCCACTTCCATCCTCCATCATCAAACACCATCACCACCCTGTCCAGCACCACCAACTCCTCCCCCCGCTCCTGCTCCATCAAATTCCACCTGATACAGTCCAGCAACTCCGTCGTCCTGCTCCTGGCCAACCCTCTCCATTGGAGGATTGACGTTGACGGCCACGAAGTTACCATCGGCGTCCAATTCTAGAACAGGATCGGCCGTAGCCTCCGCTAGATTGGTGACCGATTTGGATTTGACACACTGGAAGTCGACGTGGCGGCTTTTGGCCTCCTCCTTTTCCCAAGACATGTGGATGAAGGGGCGTTGCACGTAGTTGTAGATGACCTCGGGGCGGCCGCCTGGACGCTTCTTAACCTGGTGGATAAAGGATAGATGATGGTGAAGATGATTATGGTGTCAAAATTTAAATTCTCTTATAAAAGTAATTTTTTACCTTCTCTTTATATGTTGGATAGCCTTCAATGCCCAATCGAATCTTTTTCAATCCTCGTTCCTTCAGTACTTGCTTGGCTACATCCCTGTTCTCGATATATTTGAAGAAACGATACATGGCAGTGCTCAGCACAGCTGAAAAAGGAAAAGGAGAGATTAAAATAATTTGTATAAATTAATCACCATAATTAGTAAAGCAAATAATAATCAAATGCAATAAATGGCCAATGGTGTATGGCATCGTGCCTTGAGGCAAATTGCTGGAACTTCCCGTACCATAATGAAATATTCGAGGAATATTAAATGTTTTCAAATAGATTATTTTAAATGCTGTAACTTAAATTACAGCATTTAAAATTTAATTTTAAAATAATATAATTTAAAATAAATTTAAATTAAATAATTGAAAATTAAAAAAAAATGAAAACAAAATTCTTTTCCCGTTTTTTGAATCATTCAAATCGGATGCTTAGTTCTCTCAAAAACTGCTATTTTTTGCACATTTATCTCCGTATCTCCAAAACGACTGGTCCTGCCTTTTCCAAAAACTAATAACCACTTCTCGCCATCATTACAAATTGAATTTGGATCATTCAAATCGGATACTCCGTTCTCTTAAAAACTCGATTTCTATTTTCTGCACTCTTTGCTCCGTATCTCCGAAACGGCTGAACCTGCCTTTGCCAAAAACTAATCAGCACATGTGCCTATCATCGAATCGAATTAGCAGAAAAGCGCAACTTTTTTGTCCACATTTTAACCAAAAATTCTGAATGGAAATTGAAATTTGAAAAATCAAATTCGAAAGATAATATTATTAACATATAACTATAGTTGCCAACAATTATAAAAGCAGAATAGACGTCCATTCTAACCAACTTGCATTTCGTGTATACCAGGAATGCCACCTGACCAGGCTTAAAAGAAAAATACCTGGAGACCTAATATAGTTTAATTCACTATAATACTTTCATTTTACTACATTTTATTGTTTTTTTTTTCGCTTTTGTTTTCAGTTTTTTTTTTATTATTATATAGCACTAGTAGATACGCCACTGGTGGTATCTATTAATTTGTAAACAACTAATAATTAAATAGTAATTAAAAAAAAAATTGGGAATTGCTGATTAGTTTTTGACTAAGGTTGGCCAAACCAGTTCTTTGTAATCCGAAGAATTTAATAATACTTGGAACCTGGTCTTAATGAACATACTAAAATATTATAGTCCTACGATTATAAGTGGCTCAATTATAAAATTTAATTAAAACTTAGACTATTCGGCCTTGCTTTCAGAAAACACTCCGTGCATAAATTAGGTACATGTTCGTTTTTCAGTAATGTGTAAAAAAATTGTACAAAAATAAATAATCAGCAATAGTTTTTCACCACATTATATTGCTCCAAAGCAACATGGTATATTTATAAATCATTCATAAACTAGTGGGGTGCATGGCATCGTGCCTTAAGGCAAATTTCTGGAACTTCCTGTATCGTAATTAAAATTCTTGGTACGGAACCCAAAAAAAATTACACAAAATGTGTACACATTATTAAAATCTCTATAAAATATCTGACAATTTGATGTGCATAAGTCCAATAAACATTTTTGACCACCAAATGACATTTTTAGAACTTAAATTACATAACCGCTAGACCTGCCTCCCCAAAAATTTAATCAGTTCTTCATCTTGTCAATACAAGTAAAATGCTTTTTGAATTATTAAAATCGGACGTTCCGTTCTCTTAAAAACTGAGTTACTGTTTTTGGCACTTTTTGCCCCGTATCTTCGAAACGGCTAGACCTGCCTTCTCCAAAAACTAATCAGCACGCCTCCTTTGAATTTTTTTTTTGAATTATTTCTGAATTATTCATATTGGTTGATCGGTGTTCCCGAAATCGTCGACGAAAATTTGTATCCTAACATACACACACATACATCCATTTTTTCTAAGGTATGCCAAAATGTTCAGAAATCTTTGAAACGTAAATATATATAAAAAATTTCATTTTCAATTTATTTGCAACTACTATAACTTACCCTACAGGAAGTTAATTAATATATTGATTTCTTATTGATTAAGATGATTATTTAAACAAATCAGTAAGTTCATGCAACTTGTTTTAAGGCAAAATGCCACTTACAACTAGTCTTTTTAGAAATCTTTTTAGAAAACTAGCATTTTTATTCTATAAACTCTTTTTATCTCTCTAAACATAACTGACTTTGAATTAACCATACAATTAATCATAATTATTTATTTATCTACTCATAAGCAAACCATAATCAATAGCAATAAATATCATTTTATCCTCTTATCATATTCATGCATCCCTTTGTTATACATCCATTAATACTATATTTATCCTTTACTCACTTTGCGAATACTCTTCTCCCATTTGTGGAGGGTACTCCTCGTCCCAGTCAACAGAGTCATCATCGAGCAAAACAACAACATGACATTCACGGTCACCTCTCTGTGCAGAATTTACCATCAGGGGTAGAATTAATTCCTCTAAAAACACTTCAAATTGACATCTTGCTCCTTCATTGCTTAATTCGTGTAACAAACCACCTGGTAAAAAATAATACAGATAAATAAAAGGTATAAGATGCCAAGGTTGTGATAATTATTATTTTTATAGTCAATGTATTTCCTTTATATTTATATTTATATATTTACATTGACGCGTGGAAGACTTACGAAGATTTTGACAGCGCACAGTCTGTGCATCGAAGGGCACCAGCAGATAATCACAAGCTTCTCTCAATTCCTGCACAGAAACTGTAGGAGGGCAGCGTATTAAGCCCCCTTTATAATAATCCAGTATAGCACGAAAAACCATTGCAGAAATGCCCTCAGCCACCTGAAAGTAAAAATAGTATGGAACATATATCTTATATATAAAATTCTTCTGTAATGGGGTATGAAAGGTCAATTCTCTTGAACGATTATTCGGATTTTCATGAATCTTCCTGAAGTTTGTTAAGGGGTTAGAGGTACTTGAAATTTTTGAAAAATCGATTTTTATTTTTTTGCATTTTCATTAAGTGTAATATCTTGAAAATGCTCCCTGAAAATTTCAAGTTGATCCGATGATTACTTTTTGAGTTATTGGACTCTTACCAGCGCGTTGACGCAAGTGGAAAGCTCGATACTTATACTCAAGATTATTCTCCCTCATCTCCTGATGTTTTAAAAGCTTTTAAACCGATTTACGATGATCTCAGCAATGATAATTTACTTCAAGATGTGTAGTTCAAGATTGAATCCATAATCAGAAAAAATTGAAAGCTCCAAAGAAATAGTGTAAAAAATATGCCTAAAAACCGTGAATACTAGTTCTACTATCGTACAAATTGCTGAATACATATACATAATCGTTAATATTGATTATGGATACCCTAGGACATAATTGTGGGTATAATTCCCATTGGTATGCTGAAAAATTGGATGTTGCACGTGTGAAAGTGGCAGATCAGCGCGCCAACGAGAACGCTCAGGAGGCCAGAATGCTTTGTAGGCAACAGCAAATGGAAATTTTGGAAACTTGCACAATGACTGATGAACTATTATATGGCCCAGAAATAGATGACTCGGTTTAAGTAAGTAATCCAATGTGAAACTTTAAACGCGTTTTTTCAAACACTATGTTTTTTGAACCGGTGACCACTGTAACTCAAAAACCGCTTAGTAAATTTTAATAAAAATTATACAGCTTTTAGAATACATAATAAACTCGGGCCTGATCGAAGGATTTTTATTTTTTCAAAAATTTCAATTTTTTAAGACCAATTAATTGTTGATTTTTTACCCAAAAATCTAGATTTTTTTTTCTGATGCTGCCATTTTGTTAATTTTTGCAAATAAACGAAAACCTTTGATCAGGCCCAGGATTATCTATTTATAAAACTATTTTTTTTTTTATTTGATTGATTTTAGATGAATCTCTAAAGAGTTATGATGGTCACCGCCAGGACCGTGAAACAGATCAACAAAAACAGCTATAACTTTGGGAATATTTATTTTATTTTTCTGAAATTTTTGTTACTTCAAGTCAAAACATTGTATAATAATGCCGTATTAATATTTTTGTAAAAAACATCGTTTAATAACAAAAAAAAAATACTGAAAATTCTCATTTTTTCGTGCCTCCAAGTACCCCTAACCCCTTAAGGGAATTTTCTAAGATTTTTTGATTCATAGAAATATAGTAGAAATATTGTAGAAATAAATGGAAAAAGTTACAAAAAACCGCTTATCATTGTTTGACTTTGAGAATATTTGAGGCATAGTTTGACATTAAAAACAAATTAAGGCTGTCAGTTGCCAAACATTTTAATTCACTAAGGCTAGGACAATATTAAAATATAATATATTTATGATTATGAATAAGGAAAATGTAATGTCTACATTATTATTGCCGTAAAGCAGCTGAGATGTGCCAAAAATTAAAATAATATAAGATACATTATATATTTGGTACATAAACAGTCAGTGAATATACCCTTTATAATTAATTAGACAGATTATTATTTTTTTAACTAATGCAGTCGTGTTTTGCCTTACTTTACTGAATCACGATACAAAAATAATTTACTTGTTCAAAAAATTATTTAGAAGTTGCATTGTATCAAAAATTCATAGATTTGGCGTTGGATAAGGAATATTTACTCAAGTCAATGGAACATTTTGGGTCTGAATATTTTTACTGTGCTCCAATTTGCATAAAATTTTGGAGTTAAGTTCACCTTACTCTCAAGTTTAAAAGTTAAAATAATTTAGACTCCTTTGCCACTTCCCAGGTGGATAACATTTCTTCTCAGTGGTACAATTTTACTTTTTTCAAAATAACGTTGGGTATGGATAAAAGAACTAATTAGAAGAGAAAAATGTTTAATAATGTTTTTCAAAAAAACAAATACTTTTCATGTTACTGGCTACTGAAAATTCTTTCCTTTTTAACTTTCCATATAGATAGTAATCGCAAAAAAATCGAAAATGAAAATTTTTATATATCTTTACATTTCAGAGGTTTCTGAATATTTTAGCATACCTTAAAAAAAATGGATGTATGTGTGTGTGCGTGTGTATGTGTATGTGTATGTGTGTGTGTGTGTATGTGTGTGGATACAAATTTTCGTCGATGATTTTGGGAATACGGATGAAGCGATTTGAATAATTCAAAAACATTCGATTCGTATTGATAAGGAGACGTGCTGATTAGTTTTTGGCAAAGGCAGGTCTAACCATTCCGAAGATAAGAGGCAAAAAGTGGCAAAAACGGTGACTCAGTTTTTAAGAGAACGGAGCGTCCGATTTGAATAATTCATAAAGAATAAGTAAAAACATTTCACTGGTATTAACAAGATAAAGAATTGATCAAATTTTCATGAAGGCAGGTCTAGCGGTTTCGGAGATCTAGTGAAAAAAGTAAAAAAAATGCCATCTGGCGGTCAAAAATGATCATTAGACATATGCACATCAAATTATGAGATATTTTATAAACATTTTAACAATAAGTATAAATTTTGTTTACATTCCTATGGGTTCCGTACCAATGCTTATCCGTTAGACGGCGGCGCGGCGCTTTCGCGCTTCTATATTATGTCTCTATGCAGTTAAAGCAGTACCATTGCTTTGAAAAAAAGTTCATAATTTCCAAAATATTTCAAAATACACTTTTCTTCAAAAAGTCTTTTTTTCAAAAAAAGTAAATTTTTGTCAAAAATTTATAGTTTCTCAAAAATCTAATTTTTCAGAGTAAATTTTTTTCAAAAATGGTAATCTTTTTAAAAAAAAATAATTTTTGGTACGGAAAGTTCCAGCAATTTGCCTTAAGGCACGATGCCATGCGCCCCACTAGTTAGCGTTTTTTATCGTATTTTGCGAATATCTTTAAAAATATACCTTTTAACAAAAATCATGTGATGAACAAACTTCTCAATTTTACATCACTTATATATTGGTGTAAATAGTAATTCAAAAAACAATAATTATTATTGTTAACTGAATGGTAAATATTAGTATAGGATAGTAAAAAAACGTAGATGTGGGTACAGGACAACGTCTGTTGGGTCATCTAGTGTATCTATATATTGTCTATTTATTACCTTGAACTCTCCCCTTTCATTAGGATGTGTAAACTCCAGACCCGAGCTAAACATCCTCCCCAGCATTGTATCAGGATGTGCAGTAAACAAAGCAGGATCTAATATAAACCTCGTGTTGTCAACGATCAATGTAACTCTATCCTCATTATTCGAAGGCTGATTGAGCCCTGAACTTCCAGGCTGAGAACTAGTACTTGAAGCCATATTGGGACTCTTTGAAGACGGTTGTAACACGCTCATTTGTTTGGGGCCTGTAGGGTGTTTGAGATTAGATTTGCTTGTTGGTATTTCAGAATCTTGGAGACGACTGAAATGGACAAGTGAAAGTTGTAAAAATGGGATTTGTGTATTGATTAAAGTATTTATTACCTACCCCAGGCGATTTTTGTAGACTCTGGCCCTCCTTTCTTCACTTTCGTGATCTGTATCGCTGCTGCTATCGTGGTAATAGAAACGATCCTTCGAAGGGCCTCCGGACATTTTTGCCCAGGATGGTTTATTCAAACAAATAAAGCACAGGCACTTTTTGAAAAACAGTGCCGTGCTTTATCCAATTTATGTTTATCTATTAGAGAGTAATTAAAACATTATAGGCGTTTGGAAATTTAAAAAAACATTTGGGACTTGTACAATATTAAGTCCAGATTGACAAGTTAAACCGAGAGAAAATCATTTTCTATTGTTGGAGCACCATAAACAACAAGTATTTTAGCGTTTTTAGTAAATTTTAACTTAAAATTGTATTAATAAATGTGTGAAATGACACAAAAGCACTAAATTTGTGATTTGATACAAAAATTCTTTCTTAATTTGACAGTTTAGAATTAGTTCAAGATGGCGGGAACTGTCAAGTTTAGTAGGCGGGATTTTTAAAATTGATTAAAATATTTATAAAATACACAAATAAAACACAAACATAAGCATTCTTCGAAAAACAATATTAACCTTCATCTAACATAAGTTTATTAACACGAAAAAAATCAAAACGTCATTAAAAAATAATTAAAACTTGCACAATGATAAGTTTAACCGGGGTGACAAAAACATTTTTATTGATGGAGCACTAGGAAATTTAAGATTTTATTGTAATTAATCCGTTTTATCTTAATACTATTTTATTAACTATTTAAAACGACACTAAATAAGTGGCAAAGTGGTTTATTACAAAAATTATTTCCTAACTTGACAGTTTAAAATTGATTCAAAATGGTGAAAACTGTCAAATATTTTGCGGGAATTTTGAAATCGTTTAGGTTACTCATTTATTATTTAATTATATTTATTTTCCTAGACAATATTAGAATACGATATATTCCTAGTTTATTTTATCCCAAATTTAGTATTTAATATATAATAAAAATTGACCTGAATTAATATTATAAATATAATAAATAATATAATATCCAGAAAATATTTTTATGTTATGTTACTAATATTAATTAGATAATTTTTTATATATTATTATCAATTCATATATAAAGTCTTTAATGCAATCAATACATCAAATAAAAGAAAATTAATATGAAGTATGCATAATTTAATAAGTAATAAAACCGCAAATAGCACAACTCAATATCAATAATTTTGTGAACTTGAATGACTAAAAATATTATGAGAAATCATATTTTATAAATGAATCATCTAAGGTCTGTATCTATCTCCAAACAAATTCTGTTTATAATTTCAGTTACTACGATGTTAACTTTGCTTTCTTTAAAATTACTACCATTATCGTTTATATTTTTTTATTGCTCAGTTAACTTCTTCAGACTAGATGTTTTTTTTAAACTATTTCTTGTAAATCTTTCACATTTATATCATCTAGACTGATTTGTTTCACAAAGTTCCACAATAGAACTAGAAAAATCTTCGGGCTGAAATAAAAAGTTTTTTAAATGAAGCAGTGATGAACAAATAGTACAGTCTTACTGTATTTATAGCAAAATTTTCACATTTATATCATCTTAACTGATTTGTTGCACTAAGTTCCACTATAGAATTAGAAGAATCATCGGGCTGAAATAAAAAACTTTTTAAATAAAGCAGTGATGAACAAATAGTACAGTCTTACTGTATTTATATTAAAATTTTCACATTTATATCATCTAAACTGATTTATTTCACGAAATTCCACAATAGAATTAGAAGAATCTTCGGGCTAAAATGAGAAGCTTTTCAAATGAAGCAGTGATGAACAAAAGTACAGTCTTACTGTATTTATATGAAAATTTCCACATTTATATCATCTAAACTGATTTGTTTCACTTAGTTCCACAATAGAACTAGAAGAATCTTCGGACTGAAATAAAATGCTTTTTAAATGAAGCAGTGATGAACAAACAGTACAGTCTTACTGTATTTATATTAAAACTTTCACATTTAAATCATCTTAACTGATTTGTTTCACTAAGTTCCACAATAGAACTAGAAGAATCTTCAGACTGAAATAAAAAGCTTTTTAAATGAAGCAGTGATGAACAAACAGTACAGTCTTACTGTATTTGTAATAAAACTTTCACATTTATATCTTCTTAACTGATTTGTTTTACTAAGTTCCACAATAGAATTAGAAGAATCTTCAGGCTGAAATAAAAAGCTTTTTAAATGAAGCAGTGATGAACAAACAGCACAGTCTTACTGTATTTATATTAAAATTTTCACATTTATATCATCTAAACTGATGATTTGTTTCACTAAGTTCCACAATAGTATTAGAAGAATCATTGGGCTAAAATAAAAAAAACTTCTTAAATGAAGCGTTTCATTAAACAGTACAGTCTTACTGTATTTATATGTGTATAATAATTGAAACCAAACCACTCATTACTTTAGAAAACCATTTATTCGTTCTTTCATAATATATATAGCATTACATCTGATGTCTTCATTCATTCCATTATATATTTATATAAAATCTACTTTGAAAAGTTTGCATTGATGTAATGGTATAAGACAACTAGGAGGAATAAAGAAACCCCCAGAATGTTGGAGAATATAGCCAGTTGAACGTCTGTGATCATTCTGAAACAAAAAATAAAGGATTTATTGTAAATATTATAGACAAAGACACTGAGAGTAGATTTAGCTGATGATGTGAATGTGAGAAACAAAAAATAAGTCTCTTATTAAAAAATAAGACAAATCCTGCACCATAGTTCAACACTGCGTAATCATATATCATACTTTTGAAGACTTTTGAAAAGGGCTCATTATAAACATTACAGACAAAGACACTAAGAGTGGATTTAGATAACGATGTAAATGTAATAGACAATGCTTATTGAAATTTGCATTATTTGAAAGAAATAGCCTTAAATTAAGCTTACAAATTTCCTGGAAAATGCTTCAGTGTCTAATCATATATAATACTAAACTAAGTGAATTTAAAATGCTATTGGATTATGTTTATGATATATTCATGAGAGATAGAATTTATTTAACATATTGCTAGAAGTTTACTCAAATATGCTTGTTTCGAAAAGAAAGTTTGATATAATAGCATATCAAGTTATATACAAATCCTACGTTGTCTGATCATATATAATCCTAAATTAATACTATTATATAATAATAAAATGCTAAGAAATAATAATACCGAGTGCTTCAAAAAAATATATACACACTTTAAACTATTTTAGTTTTATCTAAGAGATTCAAGCAGCGTGTAGAGAAATCTCATTGGACGTTTTGATACAATATACAGAATCAGTGGTGACTCGTACTAAGAATTGTATTGATGCTGCAGGTCACCAATTTGAACAGTATAAGATTTGCTATTTATATTTCATTTACATTGAATTTTCAGCTGTCTATTTTCCTAAAATTTAACTTTGTAGAACGGTAAATAAATTTTCTATGGAAGTTCAAAGTGGTAAAACATTTTTTGAAACACCCTGTAGTATTTTTTAACTGTATTTATCCTTACTTGCAGAATCCTTATCAGTTCGCCAACAAATTTACAAATATCTATTTACACAATTGTCCTGTAGCAATGACGATTGCACTTGCTAAAAGCTAAAAGATAAATTTTTAAATTATAATAAAAATTTGCTATATCTACAAGTAGAAATAAATATATAAATTACACAAATACCTTGTATATTTATATGAAAACTTCTAGATGAGTGTCGTGTCATCTGTCAGTTGGCGTCATCAGTGTTGCCAGATTTGAAAAAATGAAACGTCAAAATAGAGAAGTTAACTTTGGGAGGGAAATTTGAAATTTATAACATTAGGGAAAATTTAAATTTGTAACCGTTTTGGGCAAATTACATTATTTTTGAACAATCTACAGCATTTTTAGTGGATCTATAAGACTTTCAAATCATTTACTACATTTTTAATCAGACAATCTAAAATATTTTCAGACAATTTGCAAATGTTTTCTAAACAATTTTGAAGAGTTTCATTTAAAAAAAACGTTATAGATTAATAAAAACATTAGTTTTTTCTTAAAAACAGATTAATTTAAAGCATAAATATGTTATATTTTATTTATTATTAACTTAAAAACAATATAGATAATATAAATAAAAAAAACATAACATATTCAAAGATGCTGTTATCCTTTACACATGCTGCCAGAAAAATTTGATTTTTGTATATTTATTTATAAAATAAATAATAATTTATAACAGATATTAAATCTAGTAATTCAATCAATAAATTTTAAATTTTACATCTCGCAGCTTGATACATAAAAACCTACAAAGATTTTTAAGAATCAAGCATTAATAATAATCCATTACACATGCTGGCAGGATAATTTGATTTTGTATATTTATTTATAAAATAAATAATTTAAAACAAATATTAAATCTAGTAATTCAATTAATGAATTTTAAATTATATATTGCTCTGCTTGAAATATAAAAACCTATAAATTTATAACAATCAAGCATTAATTATCATACGGTAAACAATTATATTACAAAAATAATAATAATTGTAATACATATTATGTATATATAAAATAATACACAAATGTGCCAATTGCTTGATGTGCCAATCTCAATACTTTACATTTTTTTATAATAAATGAATATTTTTTGAGTACAGTATACAATAAAATAAACTCATTCAAACAAGTACAAAAGTCGTCTTAAAGATCACCCAAACAATACTATCTGATGGTTTTTTAAAGGTATTTTATTCCTAAAATTTTACTTGTTTTTTGAAGATAAGTCTCAAAATTATTGCATAAAAAATAAATATATTTTGGCTTTTAATAACCAACTGTTTATTATTCATTTTATTATATCTATGAATAATTTTGCACAACAACCATCTTGATGTTCACATATAAATTATATTATTCAATAAATTATAAATTATTTTTCATTTAAGATCTATTAAACCTTTATTTTTTGTTTGATCGTAATAGAATAATCACATATATACTTTTTACAGTCTAGTCTTTCCATGCACTCACAGAATTTTAATACTCACACCTTTTACTTAATTGTCTTTTTTCCAACAATTTCAATTGGAAGTTATGTTATTCCTTATCATTTCAAATCTATTAAACCATTGCGTTTTTAGTCGATTATAATTGAAAAATCACATATACACTTTTTACAGTCCAGCTGGCTTCATCTCATTATTTTCTTCATTTTCATCAATATCTTTAACATAATATCATTCATAATCTTACATCACTCTTTACACTTGCAACTGAAAGCATTTTCTAACTCGACTTCATTAAACACAAATCAGTCTTTAAAATCTATTTTTACTCATCACACTTTCAACTCAACCTTCTGTTTCTCTGCCCCTTGTCCCCAGGAACACCAAAGGACAAGTTTTTATTTGACTTTCTGCTTTTCTTTTGCCCCCTGTCCTCAGAAACACCGAGGAGCAAGTTTTTATTTGTCCCCCTGCTTTTCTTTTGTCCCTTATCCCCAGGAACACCAAGAGATAACATTTTGTTTGTCCCCCTGCTTTTCTCTTGTGCCTTGTCCCCAAGAAAGCCAAGAGGCCACAGTTCATTTGTCTCTCCCTTGCCCTGAGGAACACCAGGAATCAAGTTTTTATTCATCTCTTTTATCTTGTCCCCAGAAACACCAGGGAGCAAGTTTTTATTCATCTCTTTGCTTTTATCTTGTCCCTTGTTCCCAGGGACACTGGGGTTCATGTTTTTATTCATCTCTTTGCTTTTGTCTTGCCCTTTATCCCCAGGAAAACCAAGGGACAATGTTACATTTGTCCCTCCACTTTTCTCTTGTTCCTTGTCCCCAGGAACACCAGGGTGCAAGTTTTTATTCACCTCTTTGCTTTTATCTTGTCCCTTATTCCCAGGAAAACAAAGAGGCAACATCCCCCCGCATTTCTCTTGTGCTTTGCCCTTAAAAAAATCAAGAGACAGACCTCCATTTGTCAATCTACTATTCTCTTGCTCCTTGACCCCAAGGAAACCAAGTGATAAGCTTCCATTGACCCCTCTGATATTCTCTTGCCCCTTGAGCCCAAGAAAACCAAGTGACCAGCTTCCATTCACTCCTCCGGTGTACTCTTGCCCCCTGGCCCCAAGATAACCAAGTGACAAGCTACCATTCGCCCCTCCATTATTCTCTTGCTTCTTGCCCCCAAGTAAACCTACAGACAAGCTTCCATTTGTCTCTTTGCTTTTCTCTTGCCCCTTGACCCCAAGAAACCAAGAGGTAAGCCTTCATTTGTCCCTCTGCTTTTCTCTTGCGCCTTGACCCCAAGAAAACCAAGAGACAAGTTTTCATTTGTCCCTCTGCTTTTCTCTTGTCCTTTGACCCCAAGAAAACCAACAGACAAGCTTTCATTTATTCCATCACTTTTCTTTTGCCCCATGTCCCAAGAAAACCAACAGACAAGCTTTCATTTGTCCCATCACTTTTCTTTTGCCCCATATCCCCAAGGTAATCAATAGACAAGCTTCCATTCACCCCTCCACCATTCTCTTGCCCCTGACCCCAAGAAAACCAAGGGGCCCGCTTTCATTTACCCCTTGGTCCCCATTTAAACTAAAGGACCGGACTTGATTTGTCCCCGAATGTGTCTGAATGTGCCTCAATAAATACCCCGGTTGTGAAAACGTAGCATTACAATATGAGCACTCAAACATATTCCCAGCCGCATGTGTCCTTTTATGCCTGGTCAAATGACTGGACTGATTAAAAGACTTCTTACATATTTCACATACGTACGGTCGTTCCCCTGTGTGCGTTCTTATATGAGAAACTAAGCTACTGGAATCTGTGAAGGCTTTAGGACAATTCTGGCATTTAAAAGGTCGTTCACCTGTGTGTATCCGTGCATGTTTGGCTAAATTGCTGGAGTCTACAAAAGCTTTATTGCAGGTTGTGCAAATGTAACGTCTTTCACCTGTGTGGGTTAAACGGTGTCTTATTAACCGACTTAGCATGGTGAATGATTTGCTGCAGAATGGACATTTTAATAATTCGCCTGCTTTGTGAATTGACATGTGTTGGGATAGGTTGTAGAAGCGTTTGAATTCTTTTAGGCAGGTGCTGCATTTGAATGATTTTTTTATGCTTTGGGTTTTATCATCAATGGTTTCTTTGATTTCGTATTCTAGAATGAATACTGATGGTCTAATTGCTGCTTGATCGACTTCTAATTGTGTATCTTCATCATTGTTTGTATCTTCTTCATCAACTTCATTTTCTTCTATAGAATACTCAACTGGTTCATTTTTAACAGGCGAATCGTCTTCATCAGACATCTTATATATTTATTTCTGGTGAATAGGATATGAATTAGTAATTGAAATAATAAATACTGATACAAAATAAATAAATATGTAAATAAATAAATATAACTCTTTTAGACAATTTTGACATTTTACCAAAACTATCAAACATGGCGTGTATTTCAACATGCCGGAAACATAAAATATAATATATTATATATTTTTTTAAATGTCTAGAACCTTGTAGCAAAAAATAAAAATGCAATTTCTTTTATCTTTATTCAAATTTTTTTCATTTAATTATTATTCCTTATTAAACTTCATATCCGTTGGAAGTACAAATTTAATAGTGTTGGTATTGCTCTAAAGTGAATTAATAAAAGAATATTAACTACATATAAAACTTTATAATAGGATATAAGTTAAATATAAATTGTAATATATATTCTCTATAACTATATTTTAAATTTATTGAAATTTAAAGAGTAACAAATGATCACAGTTAGTTAGTAATTTCAAATTCAAATTCCACATGTTTCGCGCCTAAGGGCGCCATGTTTGACAGTTCCACAAAATGACAGTAAATATAAATTAATTAATAAAAATAGTAATATTTTATTATAAATAATTAATAAATTTATAATTATTATTGCGTTTAAAATATATTTTTGTTTATAAATTTATTAAATAAAGATTGTATTAAAAATAGATACTTGGTTAATTTCAATTCAAATTTCATATATTTGCGCCTAGGGGCGCCATGTTTGATAGTTCCACAAAATGACAGATCAAAAAACTTCATCTAAATATAAATTAATTAAATAATTAATTAATAAAATAGTAATTTTTATTAAAATAATCAATAAATTTGTAAACTAATCATTGCGTTCAAATATATATATTTGTTTTATAATTTATTAAATATAAGATTGTATTAAAAATAAATACTTAGTTAATTTCAAATTCAAATTCCGTATATTTTGCGCCTAGGGGCCATGTTTGACAGTTCCACAAAATGACTGATCAAAAAATTTCATCTAAATATAAATTAATTAATAAAAATAGTAATTTTTAATAAAATGATGAATAAATTTATAAACTAATCATTGTGTTTAAATATATATATATTTTCGTTTATAAATTTATAAAAATAGGATTGTGTTAAAAATAGACACTGATGTATGACGTGATGGTAAATAATTGAATTTAAAATAGTCAACCTACTAATTGAATTTCAAATAAACATGTCTGAACAAAAAAATGACCAGAAAGTTAAAATGACCCTCCAGAAGATAACGTTTCATACTCTGCTACTAAGCCACAATTACATGACTTGAGTGACGATGAAATACCCTTAGAAACACTGATGAACTTTGAAGTAACAATGGAAGAAGGAATCAAACAAGAATCTTCTTTTACCCAAAGATCATTACATGTGGAGTTTGTGATCAAACATTCTCAATTTCTAATGAACTATCGACTCATATGGCTTCTCATACAGACATGAAATGTAAATACTGTGATAAGGTCTTTGCATGTTCAAATACGTTATCTGTTCATATGTTAACACATGTTGAAGCACGTGCTCTCTTACGTGTGAACAGTGTAATAAATTATTTAAATTTCCAAGTGAATTCATACTGCACATGAGGACTCACACAGGAGAACGTCCTTATAAGTGTGACATCTGTAACAAAACATCAATCGTCTAGCTCATTTAAAAAGGCATGAACCTCTACATTCTGATGAATTACCTCATAAATGTGAAATTTGCAATAAAGCTTACGCCCACCTGGATACTTTAAAAAACACATGGTCGGTCACACCGAAGAACGGCCTTATAAATGTGAAACTTGCAACAAAAGCTTCAAACATTCAGGAAGCTTATCAAATCACATTCGAATCCACACAACTGGACGACCTTACGGTTGTGAATTTGTAATAAATCCTTCACCCACTCTGCTTATTTAGAGGCACACAAGCGTATTCATTCCAGAAAACAACCACCACAAATGTGACATATGCAACAAGGCCTACAGCCAAAGAAAAACTTGAAAATGCATATGCGTATCCACACCCAGGATGCTCCTTATACTTGTGAAATATGTGCTAAAGGATTTTTCCAAACAAGTGCTTTAAAAGATCACATGAATGCCCATTCAGGTGAACGGCCTTATGAGTGTAAAATATGTAATAAACTTTTTCGCAGGCACTCTGTTTAAAAGTACACAGGATTGTTCATGCTAATGAACGACCTCACAAATTGAGTGTGTGAAAAGACTTTTCGACATGCCTCATCTTTGAG